GTAAATAAAGAGAGATGAGAAGCTTACAGAAACATATAAGAAGGTAAGTTTGGAATAATGTCGATGGCTATGGAGATCAGACAGAAGATATATTACATGTCAAGGTTGCACTTTCCCAGGTTCGGTTGTTGAGAAGAATCTAAGACTCGGTGGAAAATAAGCACCCACTAGTCTGTGCCACCTGTAAGCCAGGACTGAACTGTGACACAGAAGATGCTCAATTGTCTCCGTCTCCCGTTTACTAGTAAAGGCCCTGGTATTGCAATGATCAGTAAAGATTTCTGTCATTACTCTTATTTCAGTTTTGCTCAGGTTCAACAGTGAGTGCGTTCTTTTGGTAGACAGAGTCGGCCAAATGGATCTTGACAAGTTGCACCTAGGTTCGTTGTGCCAAAGTTCATAGGCTCTTTCGTCGAAGAACGCCTCAAAGTTGCCTAGAGCTTGGATAGTCCTTTAAAATATTACTTTAAATGGATTTCCTTTCTTATATTTCATTTTCTACAACAACAACTAAATCAACGTAGATTTTTTTACCGATCAGGCATATTTACGTCAGGGGAACTTCGACGAATATTTCGATATGTTGCAAATGGAATGATACATTTCTTATACACTCCACCTTAAATATAAACCATTGTTATATATAAACCATTGTTGTATACAACCGAAAACTCATATAATTTTTATCTACTATCTGGTACGCATGTTATTTTATTGGAGATTGTGCGATAACTGTATTTAAACAATAACCTTCACAAATGCATTCTACTACGTAAAAGCTAAATTTCCTTAAAGATTAGTCATAGTCGCTATACTTATTAAATAAACTCGATTGAGTTCTAAAAGTGTGAACAATTTCTTTTTTTCCATATTAAATATAACAACAATGATATTCGAAATAATATCGATATTCCTATATTCATTTTTCTTCATACCATACATAATAGTGACAATAATTGCATTTGAAACTTATGTGATTACTTGACACTTTACATGCGCTGCTACTGTCCACCGTTTGATTGAAAGTTGAAAGCATTCAAATTAAGAATGGATAATTACGGTTGCGTGTATGATTGGCAAGAGCAAGGGAGGACGGACATGAGGATTTTTGTTGGGTTTTTTTTTTACTGTTGCAATAACTGAATATCAAATTTTCTAAAAATACCACAACAATTTGAGTTTAAAAATATACATGTCAGCAGTTTTTACTCAACACTACTAAATGCAAGTAATACTGTTTCATATTATTCATTTATCAAGAATGAATTTGAGTGTTTATGGATTTCACTTGATATAAGTAATGTGTTATATGGTTCAACAATTAGCTAGAATGTATTTTATATTAGTGTTTGTACGATTAATTTATTAAGAAGTGTATTCAAGTACATTTCTTTACTTTATGGAATATGCGATACTTTCGTTTCTAAATAACCACAAGTACTGATTTTCAGACGTCATGATTACTCCTACATAGAATCTAGAACCACTTTAACACATAAATAATAATCCAATATCGAGACCATATTTATGAACTCTAAATCTAGACCGAACATATTTTTATTTACATTTACTCTGTCCATGTTTCATATTCCTCGTATGGAAAAGCTCAACTATATCAACAGGATTCCTATCAATTTAACCCGGACGGAGATATCACCCCAACCTTGGGGAATTTCCTGTTTGAGTCATTCTGTAGACTTAAAAAAAAGGAAATTTCCAAAGTGGACTGGCGTCTACAAATATAGATCATGATCCAACGTTTTAAACTTGAATAGGTTGTAGCTCATCCAACGTTCTTGAACAGCTCTGCCTGATTGACAGTATCAAATGCTTTTTCCGGAGTAAACATAAACACCCATAGAATGTGCATAAACACTTATTTATTCACTAAATTTTATGTGGGGTTTTGCCAAAACTTGGACCTATACACCACACAAATTTGTACATAAATCAGCCTTCCAGGAACCTTTATCAATCAGCCTTATCAATTGAAAAAAATTGGGTAAATCCTTCAAAATGTCGAAAACCAGATTGGCTTTCGCAAAAACTCATATCAACTGACATTTGACTAAGCGGAGAAACACTCTGTTTTCAGATGAATTAATGTTTAATATTTAAGGCTCAGATACGAACAGATTTTCGATGAGAAGGCATAAAAATAAGTCTCAGGCCTCCGTATTACACTCTGTGAAGGTGGGTTAATAATGTATTGGGCTGTTTTTCTGTTTATGGAGTTCGATCTATTTCAAAGATTTATGAAGTAATCGATCGGATTGTTTATAGAAATGTGTTGAAAAGGCTATAGTTTCCTTTGCTGAAGAAAATATACCGTATTATCTTGACAATAACTTCAAACATACCCCGAAATATGGTACTAACTGGTTGAGGGAGTCAAAAATTAGGGCTTTGTAATGGGCAGCACAATCATCTGATCTTCGCCATATAGATACATATTTTGAGTATCAGAAATAGCAAAATCAAAAGATAGGCAGATATAACCTCTTCCCAAAGGTTCAGCATGCATGGAATAGTATACCCAAGGATCAAATTGAACCTTTTATTGACTCAATGCCTTGTAGGTATGCTGCCCTAATGAAAAATAATGGTTATGCTGCTGATTACTAGCAGAATTTGCTTATTTAAAAGAAAAAATCAAAAATTTAGAATTTAAAAGTTGAAGGTTATTTATTCAGTGTGCAATTTTAGTTGCGTTTTGGCCATCAGTTTATATCGTCCATCATAAATACAAACGGACGTAACTACAGAAAAATTCCAAATTAATTTTTTGTCCGTCCGTCCGGCCGGCACATGTACACCATAACTCGCGAAGGAAGTAACCGATTTCATCCAAATTTTTCCTTTAAACTAGTTTGAATTCGAAGATGGCTAATATCGGTCCACACCTTCTGGTACCTCACCCACAAAATAGTCCAAATTGCGCTGTAAATTAATTAATTAATCCAAACAAAACCTATTATCATTACCAAGCCTGGATTAAGTCCAAAGATGCGACACTTTGGTCCACACTTTCTGTTACCTTCCCCACAAAGGTCAAAATTTTCAATTTATAAATCAAATAGGCTAAACGAATGTCCGATTTAATTCAAACTATGCACATCTTAATATATCTATGAAACTCAAATTTAAATCTAAGATTGGGAAAATCAGTACCATCCTTCTGGTATCTTCCCTACAAAATTACCATAATTGAGCTGGAACTGACTTTTGAAACTTTGTAAATCTTATAGGGTAAGTGCACCAATAGTCGGCACATTAAGAATTTTCGCTTTTTTAACGTTTCACCATTCCAAGTGCATCTTTTCTACGATATTGTTCTTAGGTTCATCTGTTTCGAAATTTTGTTTACTCCCCGATGGAATACAAATTTGTTTAATTAATTTGTATTAAAGTAGAATTAATTAATAATTATGTAAAATAGTGCCTTTGTGCCAATAGTCGGCAATTTTTCCCAATGGTCGGCATGTTATGTTCCAATAGTCGGCATGTCGCATTTTAGTTAAACACAAATTATATATTTATTCGATTTTTCTGCTATTTGCAATAATAAATTATTACTACAGGACGTTTCTATCGGTTTTGTATTGAAAAAGTTATATAAAATAATATTATTTATTAAAATATTACAATTATAAAATATGGTGCCGACTTTGGGAACCTGTTATCCAATTTTCGGCATGGCTAAATAAGACATTTCATAGGTTAAAAAAATTAAAGATTAAACAAAGTTTTCCATTATGTAAAACTACTCAAAACTGATTGTTCCTAAGGGCGGCATCGATAAAAATATCATAATACCAAATATTTTTTAATGATTTTAAATTGTAATGTATTCTTCTCTATGTTCTTTACAATTATGAAGAAGATTCTTGTGAAAAATATATAATTTTAATATAGTTACAAGTCTTTTGAAATCGCCATGCCTACTAATTTTTTCTTAAGAAACATGAATTTTCGCTAGTTTTGACAAACCTCATTGACTAAATGCCAAATTTTGACTGAATAAATGTACTTAGCTCAATTAAATTTTATACAGAGATAGGCCGCAGTGTTATTGAAGATTATTCAAGGTATTTTTCATATTTAGTTATATGATATTTTAGTTACTTGAAGTTATATAAAACAGATGCCGACTATTGGTACATGCCGGAATTAGGTGCGTTTACCCTATGAAACGAGCGGAATATTCAATTTTATCGAAACTTTGCACATCGTAATATGTTTACCTTGCATAGATCAAGTTGAAAGATAAGATCCGTCGGCCCTTTTCTTCTGGTACCTCCCTCACAAAGGGTCAACATAAGCATATTTAATTTGAAGCGAATTGAATTTCCTATTTTATTCATTGCTTACAGATCGCAATATTATACCAAATCTACTTTAAATCTGAATATGGGGTTTATAGGGCAGCCTCTTATGGTGCCTCTCCGGAGATAGGTCAAGATACAACAAGCAACGTCCCTCGAAATCGTTACCATTAACCAAACAGAACGCAGTTGTATACCAATTTATTGTTTATATATTATTATGATTATTTTGGAGAACAAAAAACAATGGTCGTTAAAGGCTGTGATTGAAGTCAATTAGGCATTGGGTTAACGCCTTACAAATAAAATACAAAACAGACTTGCTGACTGGCAGTAATCACAAAAAATAAAATATATATATATTATTTGTTATTTCAAATTGCTGAAATGCAACCCGTTTTGCCATACAAAAAAAGCGAAGCAAGCAAACAAACAACAACAAAAGGTTTTGTGCTTTAACATGCCACAAATGTGTGTGAGTCATCTGTCACATTAGAAACAGAGGAACTTTTCTTTCATTCATTCATATTTTATTTGTTTATGTTGGGATATATTTGTTTTATTAGTTCTCTTAATATACAGTTTAATGTAATTAGTAGCGTATGTCTTAATGAAGGGCATTGAGATTGTTTTTTTCTTGTCTAATCATGCCGTAATCGAAATGTTTAATCTTACCAGCTTTAATGGCAAATTCCGATGTTGTCCTATTCCACCAAAGACTTTTCTCTCGTTTTACAAAAATGTAATAATTATCTGTTTGAAACACTTCCATTTCGTTGTTGTTGTAGTATTTTATTGGTTAATTGCTTTTTAGTTGGCTTATTGGTTATCTTTATTTGTCACTAAAAACTATGCATATTTTTTGTTTCTTTGTAAATTCTTGCACAACTATTAAACTTTTTTCCAACTGCCTCACCCTTCTACCACTTTGGCATGACAAATGACTTCTTTTTTGTTTTTTCTTTTAGGCAGTTTGTTTTATTTATTTTTTATTTTTCGTTTAAATTGTAATTAATTTTTAATTAGTTGGAGATTTTTCTTTGTTTAATTTTATCCGAGTTTGTTAGCTGTAATATGTTTATTTTATTTCCGCCGAGCGTAAAATGAGGAAATTATTAATCCTGCCTTCCAATTTTGTACACAGAGAATAAGAAATTATCGTTGCTGCTATCGATGAGAGAGAGAGCATAGAAACGATAAATGTCAGCTGGCCGCATTCGATAACACAGAGATGGTGTAAAGGGTAGTAGCTACAAAAATATTGCGACCATGTTAACAAAATATTTTTTTCAATATTTATTCAATATATTATAGACACAAACCATTATTGTACACTTGTTGCTCAAAAACATATCACGTAACTAACTACCTACGATAACATATTTATTATATATATATATATTGATTGTGTTTTAATACAAAATTGGTGGAATGATGAGCTATCCTGTTATTGACAAATCAAATTATTTTTTAAATTTAAATTCGGAACTGTTTGTGTGTGGCGTGCTCCTCGTGGCTCCTGTCGTTAGAATCAGGCGGCTCTTTCTACCATATCTAGTTTGAGGAATGTCGACTTGAGGCGCAGACAGTTAATCCAAACAAGAGAACCATAGCAAAGGACGAGCCTTAAAACGGAGATATTACAACCAGTGTATAGTCGATAGTTTTAGCCCCCCAATTTTTCTCAATTCTTGCATGCATGGAGCGCAATCAGCACTCTCTTCGTCCGTTCCTCAGCGTTCCTGTTCCATCGGAATTGACAGTCCAGAATTGTGCCAAGGTACTTTGCTTCGTGTGATAGATGAAGCTGCACTCCATCCAGTGTTGGTGGAGCAAAGACGCCGAGCTTACGCTTCCTAGTGAAAATTACCAGTTCCGTCTTTTTTGGGTTTACACCAAGGCAGTTCGCCTTGGCCCAGCGTGACAGCTTTCCATAAGCTCCCAGATTGTTGACGAAAATTTCCCGGAAATCAATATCACCACGTCGTCCGTATACGCTACGACTTTGATACCTTTTCCGTCCAGTTCCATCAATATAACACCAGTTGCCAACTTAACATGACATTCCTGTGTTACCTCCTTTACGGAATTCTTTATTGAAAATTCAAATTTAAAGAATTTGTATTAATTTTTAAATTTATGTCGTTATGCCGTTAACTGCATGCATTTGTAATAGATGACATTGGTGACAATTTCTTGCTTAGTGTGCCCTATTTTGTTGTGCCGCAGTTTTTGTTGACAAAATGATAATCATTTTCATAACTCGGATAAAATGAAATTTTTGTATTTAAAAAGGCTCAGAATTCCATTAAATTTTATATAAAAAGTGAACAAAAAGTGTTAATAAACAGTTAAAATAATTTATTACTGACAGAAAATAGTGATTCTGGGATATTTTATAACTTTTTCATTATTTTTTTTTTTTTTTTTTTTTGTGTTTTAAGTTATTGGCCCGCCTCCCGATTGTCGAGTGTTAACAGCGCCACCACCAATTATGCAGACTTCGTCTACGTGCCTTCATTAGATTTTGACGTTGATTTCTCTGATGAATTTTGTGATATCATATAGGTGTTCCCAATTGTGCTTGCGTATGAAATCCTCCACGGTGAGAATTTCACGAAAAGTTCCGAATTTAGCTCTGACGGTGGTGTGCTTTGTGCATTCAAACAGAATATGTGATACGGTGTCTTCCACACCACAAGACGAACAGCTGGCTGAATCGATTACCTTCATTTTAGCTAGAGTGCTGCTGCTAAATGAGTGGTTACTTAATACTCGGTTTATAATTTTTTGATCATTAGGATGAAGTTTTGATTTGTGGAACCATGGTTTTTTGATGGTATGATTGAAAATTGTGAAAAAATGTGAGTTACCATTTTCGGCTAAATTTTGATAATCCTTGCACCAATCTTCCCAAATGTTTTCTTTGATGATATTTATGGCATCTTTGAGCGGCCATTTTATAGAAATTAACAAACCATTGTGCTCAGCATTTTTGGCGGCTTTGTCAACTTGCTCGTTGGGGTCAATGTTTACATGACCTGGAATGAATTGCAGTGTGGTATGGATAGATGCAGTGTTGATGATATTAATGAAATCGTCGATTAAGTAATTCCGATGTTTTTTAGAGGTTATGGCTTGAATACCACTAAGACTGTCTGTCAGGATGGCTATTTTCGTCAAGCCTTTTTCTCTTGCATATAATACCGTTTGCCTGAAAGCAAGAATCTCTGCCGACATTGAAGATAATCTTTTATTTGTGTAAAATGCGTGAGTAGCGCCACTGTCTAGATGGAGAAAAGCTGCGCCAGAGCAGCTATTCGTCACTGATCCATCCGTGAAAAATACATGGTGACCTGATTCTTGAAGTTCGGCCAGTCTTTGTTTTATAAGTTGTTGAATTACGTCTTGGTTAGCGCCTGCTTTGCTTTTGACTATCCCCTTGAAAAAATCGGTATGTGTGGCTAGAAGTTTGCATGGTGTTGGGACTGATTTGGTTGTTGCCACGTCATCAATAATATCTTGAAATCTGGAATATACCATAGAATAACTTGTACTACCTGCTGAGAGGCTTGTCGCATATTGTAGACCGGGAAGATTGAAGGCCTTGGTTTTTAAAAGTTCTTTGGCTGTGGCTAACTGAAACCTCCATGTTGGGGGAAGTTCGGCAGCTAGGTGGTAGATTATAGGCGTAGGTGTTGATCTTATAAGGCCAAGTGATTTTCTTAAAAACTTTTGTGTGCACGTTTTAATTTTGTTTGCTGACGTTTTGGTTAGATTTGATAGAGCAGTAGCTCCATATTCTAACTTGGCTCTTGCAAAAGCCTTGTAAAAGTGTATTGCCTTGGCCGGCGATATGCCAAAGGTACAACCACTTAGAATTTCCAGGAATCTGTTATTCTTGTTTACCATTTCTGTGGCATTATCAATATGCACCCTTGCCGTACCACTGGCTGATATAATTAGGCCCAGATACTTGATGTTTGAGGATTGGTTGATGGCGGTACCATTAATTGAAATGTTGAGTTCTCTAGGTCTCTTCGAGAAGTGGATGGCGTTAACTTTTTCCATGTTGAAGCTCAGGGACAGTTTGGAGCATTCACTATGGAGTTTCATGATGCTTTCTACCAGTAAGTTTCTTGCTTTTTCAAAGTTTTTATCCTGACACACCAGGAAGAAGTCGTCTGCAAATTGGAAGAGTTCAATTCCAGGCTCAACGATTACATGCAGCGAGGATGTATAAATATTGAAGAGTATTGGACTGAGCCCACTACCTTGCGGTAGACCCTTTTTCACCGTCCTGACACTATTTCCTAATTCAACTTGTCTATTTGACATGCCGTCAACAATCCATTTGATAATGTGTGTGTTAAAACCTTTTTGGAATAAAATGAGCGCCAGTTTGGTGATGCTGGTGTTGTCAAAGGCTTTCTCCACGTCAATACATGCAGCCACCACATATCTCCCGTTTCTTTTATGGAAATTAATAGTATTTATAACATCGTTAATACAGGTGGTTGTTGATCTTCCCGGTCTGAAAGCATATGACCTTGCTGGTATTGTTGAATTTTCCTCAGCGTGATTTAAGATTTGTTCTTTGATTGCACTTTCTAGAATTTTTTGGGAAGTGCACATTAGTGCTATAGGCCTGTAATTTTCCACCAAACTGAGGTCTTTGCCCTTTTTTGGGATAGGGGAGATCCTAATCCTTTTCCATGTTTCCGGAAACTCACCCTTGTTCCAAATTTCCAGGAGTACGTCAAAAAATTTCTGCTTTTCCTTTTGGTTCAGTGAATTTATCATTTGATATGTGATTCTGTCGGGGCCTGCAGCTGAGGTGGGGCTTCTTGATGCTAAGAATTGCTCGAATGTAGCTGATTGTAAAGCTGGCCTTTCACTTATGATGTTTCCGAACGAGGGTGGTTGCTCCGAAGGGTTGGCTGCCGTAGACTGCACTATGAAGTCTAAATATTTTTCTTTTTGGCTGTCGTCCCATGCGTTATTTATGGGCTTTGTTTTTCCATACTTCTTGATGTTCTTTAGCTTGGTCCACATTTCCTTGCTGGAACAAGGGTTGGTGAGCTGGCTTAGTAGTTTCCTGAAGTTTCTACGCTTTTTCTTTTCGATTTTCCTATAAAGCTTTCTCTCCACTTCTCCTAACTCCAAAGCATGCGTCCACAGTCTGGTTTCTTCATACAATCTTCTGGCAGCCGTGCGTTCGTCGTATAAAGCCTTGATTTCGTCATCCCACCACGGTTTGGGAACAAATCTGTTCCTTGGGTCAAGAGAAATGGTACACTTTTTGATGATGTTATTTATGTTTCCGTAAAAGTCAGATAAATTCTTCCCTACCTCCATATTGTTTACTTGGTTAAGTACCTGATGTGTGAGCATAATTTTGCTTTTTTTGGGATTGTTTGGGATGTTTTGAAGGCTGATAAGTATGGGGAGATGGTTACTGTTTGAAATTTTGAAATTGATGGTTTTCCAACTGACCTGGATATTTGCTTGGTTGATGAAAGACAAATCGATTGCCGACTGCGAACTGTTAGTTGAAAAGGTGTAAGCACCAGTATTAAGACAGTAAAAACTGTTTTCTTCTGCATTTTGAGCAACAATATTCCCATATAGATCCGTTACTGAGTTGCCCCAGTCTGTTGATTTAGCATTGAAATCTCCCATGATTATAGTTGTGCCAGTTAATTCACTTGCTGTTTCAAAGATATTTTTCACCACAGTTTGGTATACATCACGACGCTGGTTTGGTGGAATGTA